CCTGGCCTTACTACTAGGAACAAGAAGCTACTAGGGCTCCTGGCATCACTACTAGGAGCAAGGACGCTACTAGGGGCTCCTGGCCATACTACTAGGAACAAGAAGCTACTAGGGCTCCTGGCATCACTACTAGGAGCAAGGACGCTACTAGGGGCTCCTGGCCTTACTACTAGGAACAAGAAGCTACTAGGGGCTCATGCTTGTGCAAAAGACTCCGAAGGGCCTCAAGTCGCCAAGGGACTCAAACCCATCACCGTTGCCACCACCGGAAAAAGCCAGGGTAGAACTCCTCAAAAGCACGGGTTGTGACAAAACTCGTGTATATATACAGTATATAGAAATGCGAAGGGTTCTTCTACGTCCCAGCCTCTACAGCTGACCTCGTCTTATCTCTTCTCACAGCCTACCCACCCCTTTAAAATAGTTCGCACAGTATAGCTGATAAATAGTCTTGAAGATTCTTTCCATTCTCAGTGACGTCCGAACCTACAACATTTGGCGATAGTTATTACATGTTATGACTATGTTGTGTTCAAAGTGCGATTCCGTTTCAAATCATTCCCTCCAACCACCGGTCCGACCTTCTCCGAGTGGCAGCCTGCTGTGAAAAGAAACGTTACGCTCTGCTTCACATCCGTTGGTCTCTTTCTGTGGAGCTGCGTGAGGAAAAGCGGAAGCCTCTCTCCAGCTAAAGCAACCGCCATACCAAGCACCATCAGCACGGCTGCGGATCCTGGCACATTTAGGGCAATGCAAATAAGAACTCTGTTCACTGCTAGTTAGAGAATGTCGAAAATACTCGTGCCTGAGGCATAGGACAAGGCTTGCAAAGCTGGTGAGCTTTGCCTTGCCGCTTCTGGTCATCGAAGTTGCGTTTACTACATCCAGAATCTTGGCGGTTCTCTGCGATGGGGGACTGGAGGGAGATACCTGTTGGGTGAGTCTTGACGACAATCTAAACAGCATTTGCATAATGCTGGGCAGTGGAAAAGTCCAAAGGACAAAAATATGGCAGATGTCAAAGAATTTGTCCCCTCAAAGGGATGTTTTAGTAGACTGTTTCACCTTCTGTTTACAGTAAATCAGCAAGAAAGGGTTGTAACCTGATTGAAGAGTTGGATACTGTACTTGGGGGAGTTCAGGCATCACTTGCAGCAGAAAGCCTTGACAGTGCAGTCACACTGGCTGCAGCTGCTGGCAGTGATGCCATATTGCATGGGTTCAAAGATGATGCGAGACCTGAACCAAAGCGAGTCTGAGACACAGCACCACCTTGCTGCGTGGCGAGCAGTCATTGTAGTCTTTCGATATCTCTGTCACCTGTGTTCAAGATCCGTGGCCTCCGACAAATAGGAGAGGTGCCATAAGGAAGCCCTGGTTGCCCGCGAGACCTGCAAAAGCAAGTCAAAGGTTCAAAGGGTATAAAGAAAAGAGATGAAAGAAGAAGGTAATTGGTGACCGGTGCTTTCTTTATTTTGTTCATATTCATATTCCTTTTTGAGACCAAGTGTGTTGTCGTTTAGAAAGACAGACCTCTGCGTCTAATGTCTGTGCATCATCAAAGACCTCGCCTGAGGAGACCATGTCGTTGGCCTGCGAGACCAGCGCGAAGAGCTGCGACCTCACTAGACACATGGCGATGGTTACACTGTTCCAACTCCATAGGAGTCTCCTTAGGAGTCTCCTTGAGTTCTTCCAAGAGTTTGTCTTTGAATCTGTGTGTGTGCGTGTCTAGATGTTCCTCCAAGAGTAGGCCTCTTGCTCAAGACCAAAAGCAGAAGACGCATCAAGTGGTGGAGGAACTGCTCGCAGTCGCTTTCTCCAAACCCTGTGCGGGACCTTCCAAAGAATGAGCTAACGCACTAGCTACATCAACATCTACTCATATCTGCTGTAGCTGATGGATGTTTTACTGCTCTTGCACACCTGCAAGGCCGGTCTGGACACCACTGCGCCACCTTAGATAAATGGCTTGAGCAAGTATCTATTGAAGTATCCAATTGTATTCAACATCAAAAAGCTTCAGTTGTCATGAATGTCTTGAGATGCCTTGAGAATATCCAGACAAAACTGGCAGGATCCTTGAAATGGCGCAGGATTTGCTTGGGTAGCAAAAGATCACTTGAAGAAAGGAAAATGGTCCCGCATGTGAGAATCTGGGCACAAGCTTGCACATTATCTAAAACCGACCAAATCCCAATTTCTGACTGCATCAGTCCTCCGATGCACTTCCAAAGAAATATCCATGGCTGATGCTGGGTGCACTGGAAAGAGTGCCAGCAAGGTCACTGTTACTAGTAGCTTCTTGCTCCTAGTAGTAAGGCCAGGAGCCCCTAGTAGCGTCCTTTCTCCTAGTAGCGATGCCAGGAGCCCCTAGTAGCTTCTTGCTCCTAGTAGTAAGGCCACAAGGTTACCTTTTCAGTGCAACTTCTATCTTCTTCAATCTGCCTCCGTTATCATGTAGTTCGTCCGTTCTTGTCAGTTGTGCATTTTTGCATGTGTATAGTATATATATATATATGTATACACGTTCATATCTGTTCCATGTCTGCTTGTGTTGAAGAAGCTCGGAAGCAAGGATTTCATTGCTCTCAAATGCTTTCAAGTTTGAAGTGGTCGTTGGTCCAATTGGCACGTCAAAGCAATTGCAAAGCAACCCAAAAGCAGTTGATCCGCTAATCCTGGAGCTTGATATACCACTCGGTGCTAGCCTCAATTATGCTCAGCTTTGCTCAGTGAAGTTGTCTTCAGTTGTGTTCCACTGGCTTTCGTGTTGCTTCACTCAGAGGCCAACCGTCATGTCAGGCAAGCTGCCAGCGAGGGGAAGCTTGCCACAATCTCGTACAAATTGCGAGACCTCGGTCTCTAGTAGCGGCAGCGTCTTTTCTCCTAGTAGCGATGCCAGGAGCCCCTAGTAGCGTCTTTTCTCCTAGTAGCGATGCCAGGAGCCCCTAGTAGCTTCTTGTTACTAGTAGTAAGGCCAGGAGCCCCTAGTAGCTTCTTGTTACTAGTAGCAAGGCCAGGAGCCCTTAGTAGCTTCTTGTTACTAGTAGTAAGGCCAGGAGCCCCTAGTCAAAGGAAGTTTAGTGTGCAAAACTTCCGTGTTACGGACATTCAACAGCTGTTCAACCACCACTCATCATACATCACTCATCATACACCACTCATCATACACCA